CACTTGGGTGGTCCATCACTTCTTTGAATTTCTGCTCTCCCTGGCTTTCTGGTTTATTGCTTTACTGTCAGCTCGGTGATGCATTTAAAAAGATTTCAAAGACACATTTTATCTGGAATTTCCATTGTTTTCAGCTGGAGGACCGGTCAGACTATCTCTATGTTCGACATCCCATCTATTATGCTGAGATCGGGGTAATTAGAGAACCTGGGTATTAACCAAAGCGTGGCTGCCTCGTGAGTGCTGCAGGGTTGACTTCTCCTTACCTTTCCATTGCATTTTTTCATTTTTCCATTCAGACTACCCAAGCGTGGAGAGCCCTGCACTCTGCTTTTGGCCTTCCACTGGTTCACCGAAACTCACCTACACACTTAAAGGTATTTTTTCATAAAACAATCTAAAGTTCATTAATTTACTCTCCCCTTAAAAAACAGATCCTTGACACTTACTTAAGAGTTTGTCATTCTTTTGATCCAAACCTCCATTCCATGTTGACATTATCTGGAACTCTATTCCATACCTAAAAAAAATTTTTTTAAACTGTTTTTAAACAATATAACAATTTGGGTGGTTTTTTTTTTTACCCTTTTTGTTGCTTGTAGCTCATTTATTTCGTCTGGAGTTTTTCCCTCCCCACTAAAGAGCTGGCTCTTCGTGCCAGGTGGGGTCTAGGGAATGAGGGTGGCTCACGTTTCACCCTCGCGAGGTCATAGACATATTCTTATGTTTTTCTCTTAATAGTTTTTAAATCGTGTTCTTCACTTGCCTATCTCCCACGAAAATTATGGAAATAAAAATATAATCCCGGAAACGAAAGGCTCAGTAGATAAGCCAGGTCGCATAATGGATACCACTGGAGTAAATTACTGACCTGAAACATTAGTCTAAGGCAGCCTCCCAGGATAATAAAAATGAGCTACGCTGGAGGGTGCAGGCAGAGATATCAGCGCCGTTTCAGAAGAGTTTCCAAAAGAAGAAAATGGAAAGAATGAGAAAAGCAACCGTTGAAGAAATTACAGCTGAGAATTTTCGAGATCTAAAGAAAAACCAGCTTAGGTCTCATGGGCCAGAGCTGAGGCATATGGCTGCCCCAAACCAAGAACTGCCTCGGAAAAATCAGGATTTACCCGCGGCCAGGGGCAGGGCCGCCCCCTTCCCAGCTACTTGAAGAAATGGGAGGTAAAGCCCTCGCAAAATGAGGGCCCCGCAGCAAGAAGACCACGGAAATGGGAGCTGGGTAGGCAACAGGCGGGGTCTGCCTCACCGCAAATGCAGATCATTTCACTAAATGCAGAAAAGGCACCCAAAACAAGTCAACACATACAGCAAAAAAAAATCTTACAGACTAGGAACTGCAGGACATTCCTTAACTGATCGGGCAGAATTACCAAAACTTCCAGCCAACATCCTCATGCTCACTGGTGAAACTCCAGTAGCATTTTCATTAAAGACAGGAGTGCCTGCCCTCACTCACTCCTGCTATTCATTGTATTTTAGGAACTTCCAAAGTCCCTAAGACAGAAAGAGAGTTAGAGACAGAGAGAAAGACAGACAGACATGGGGAAGTGTAGGATTGGAAAGGAAGAGGGAAAAAAAACTGTCTCATTTGCAGATAAACCAACCATTTAAACTAACATGAGTTAGCAAGTCTGTGGGGTGTACAGTCAACACCGAAACTCAATAGCCTTCCTTTATGCCAGAAAGTAGCATTTTAAAAAATACGAGTCACAAAAGCCACAAAACTATAAAATGTCTAGAAGTAAGCTAAACAAAATATGCAACACTTTGATGGGAAACATTATAAAATTTTATTAAAGAGTATAAGAGGTTTCCCTAAACTATACAAATTCAATGAAATGCCAATAACAATCCCAAAAGTATTAAGAAAAAATGCAAAGATGCAAAAGTACAATTCGGAAAAGGAACAAAAAGTGAGGGCCTGCCCCACCAAGTATTTCAAATTCAAATTCATAATTTTTTTTTAAGTGTGGTTTTGCCCTAATGGCAAACAAATGGGTCCGAATGGAGCCCAGAAACAGATCCGTTTCTACGTGGGAACTTGGTACTCAGTCGTGGTGGTGTCAGAAATTCCATTGTGTGGAAAGATAATTTATTCAGTAGTGCTTGGGAGATTGGCCAAATATTTGCAAAAATTAAGAGACCTAGGATATAAGCACAGAAACTCTGTTGAGTTTAAAGAAAGAGAGAGGGAGACAGTGGCCACGCAGCAGGAACAGCCAGGATCAGTCCCTGAGTTTTATGAGAATATCCTTGCCCCAGATTCCCTATTAATCAAGAGAAAAAAAATTCCTCCCTTTGGAAAATGGCTCTAACACCCCTTCTACCCTGAGCTCACTTGATCACCAGCCTTAATTATCTAAAACATGACCCAGACCTAGGAATAATTAAAAAGCCATTCCAGGCGCCTAGCATGGATGCCCGAACATGGACATATCAGAGTTTCTATGTTTTGCACGTCGGCGAGGTCTCAGACCCCTACGATCCTAATCATCTTGGCGTTACGGTTCCCTGCGTGCAAAAGACTGGACGCAGCTCATTAAAAGCAGGGCATCGGAAACAAAGTGGAGCTCGGGCTTGGAATCCTAAACCTACAATGAGAACTGACGATAGAAAGAACAGCTTTCACACATTTGTCGTTATTTAGTTTTATAAATCTTGTTCTTACCTCCAAAATGGTGATTCAAATCTTAGAGAAATGGTTCTCAAGCCTGCCCACATCTTAAATCACCCAAGGAGCCCCTCTAAAAAAAAAAAAAAAGTGATGCCCAAGCCCCATCTCAGAGATTCCGGCCTCCTTGGCCTGGGCAGGCTCCTGGCACAGGTGTCTCATATATGCCTCCTAGGAGATCGAATTAGCAGCCAGGCTCCGACCCACCAGCTTAACGGTTTGGGGCCACTGAACCCAGGCACCTGGGCACCTTTGCAGGCCCTTACAGCTCACTGTTAGGATGACAGTGGTTACCAGATTTTCTTTTAAGAGGAAAACACTTTACCTAGTAGAAGTGATTTTAACAGAAAATAAGATAACCCAGAACTAGGTGATACAGAGATACATATTCCGCTCTGCATCTTAATTAGAGACATCCAGAGGGAACAGTTGGCATGAGGCCTGCACCCACCATCCCTCACCCTCTGGATCCTTCCCCTGCAGACCCTCAGTTACTGTGCCTGCCAGTCACCTGGGGATCTTGGTACAAGTCTGGGAAGGTCGGGAGATCCTGCAGTTATCACAAGATACTGTTCTTTCAAAGGCGGGGGTCATATTCCCAGAACATTCAGGAGCGTAGCCAGCCTAATGGGTCTGACTCTTGTCCCATTATTTGTTCTTTTGTGGCCTCTTTAGAAAAGCAGAACAAGTGCTAATGAAATTGGCAGAGCCGCGGCATCTGGGTCCCGGAGCCACGGATGTGGCTGGGTCACTGGCCGGCTGGCTCCTTGGTGCCCCCTTCCCTCGTCACAAGAGGCCATCCCAGCAGTACTGTTTAAGCTGGGCGTGTTACCATTTTTGACCTCAGAGCTCAGGACTGGGCTGAGACCTCCCCCACAGAGCACATTCCCGCATGATCTTGCTCCCAGGGCTCTCTGGGTCTGGAATTAGGAGCAATCGACAAGGAAATCAGCCTGAAAGCCACAAGCCTGAGTTTTATTAAGTACTAACCCTCAGGGGCTGCACCCGGAAAAAGCTCTGCTGGGCCAGCGTCTCCTCCCCCCACTCCAAACTTTACTTGGTTTTTGTCTCCTATTTTATGTTCCTGGTAAGTTCAATTACATCATCACCGTAGGGACCGGGGCACCTTTGTGGCAATCAGGCTGCCTGGGAGGGAGAGAAGCCCATACACACCTTTGCCGTGCAGAGATCAGCAGTTAGGCTCATTTTCACTTTCAGGACACAACAACACCTTAAAGACCACAGATTGTTTTCTTGGTGCCTCCTCAGAGCGACAGGAAGGAGCTGGAAGTTGAGGCACCAAACTGTAGGCTACCAGTGCCGAAGTGGGAGGATGAGGCTGGAGCTCGTTTTACAGGATCCTCACTGCTCTTTATCCTCTTAATTGCCTTAACGAGCGCGAGTTACTGGGAAGCTAAATAACACTGTTTGCCCTGTTTGCTGTAATTCAGAGACCATTCGGTCAAGTAGCCCAGGGACTTTTCAGATCCCCTGGTCTTGGGGTGGGTTTGAGTTTTTTTTAAGTATGGATTTTGAGCAATGTTTTCACTAATGAATTCAAAGCCTATAAAGCGAAAAGCCCATGTTTCTCCACCACCATGTTGCACAATAGCAGCAAAGCCCTGGAAAATGCGTGTCTTCTGCGTGGGGGGGCTTCAAGATTTGCACTTTGCCAAGGAAATTGATTCCGACACCCAAACCTACAGGCTCAAAGTGATGTCCTGAACCTGGGGTGGGGGGGACTCCAGGCCTGGTTCAGGCTTGCACAGGTCTCTTCTGGTCCCAGATGTGGAGGGGGCCCTGGCTCTGGGTCGCCTGGCCTTGACTGTGAGTTCCAAGCAGAGGCCTGGAGTCCCAGCCTGGGATGTGGCTTCAGCAGCCACACAGTGGCTGACCCAGGCAGTGGGGTCCAAGTGGAGGACGCTGAACCCCAGGAAGAAGAAAGGCCCAAGGCCACAGGCCTGGGTACCCCGTCATCCTGGGGAATGGGGGGCAGAGGGCGAGGCTGGCTGGCTGGGGGCCTTGAGGAAGCCCTGGGTCTGTGGGGCTCGCTCTGTGCTCCTAGACGCAGCCAGGGTCCCAGTGCACAAGGCAGGCCTGGGCGCTCAGCTCCAGCTCCTGCTGGTCGCCCCGGGTACCCTGCACCCCGCCCATCCTGCCTGGCTCTCTGCCTTATCTGCCCGGCGCCCACCCTCCTCCCGCCCCGCCGCTTGGGGGCGCCCGAGCGCCTTCCCGCTATAAAGCGCCCGGCCCGCGCCCCATCCACAAGCGAGAGGCTGCCGCTCTTGCTCCTTAGACGGCCGGAGGCGTCATGGGCGCGGAGCCGTTCAGGGTGCACAGGACCTTGCACCCCGACCACCTGTGGATCTGGCGGCCGGCTGTGTATATAGACGAGAACCAGCGCTCGTGGATGCCCCTCATCATCGAGGTAGGGCCGCTCCGCAGCGCGGGGGTCCCCTTCCCTGGGTGCCAGCGCCGCGGGCGTC